CCCGCCTTCGGTTCGCGGTTCGCAGGCCAAGCTGGCGGACTTCGGGTGGTGCGCAGAGTTGGCGCCCAACGGCGCCCCACGGAACACCTTCTGCCGGGGAAGCCGAGGGAGCCGGTGACGGAAGCGGAGGGGAGCAAGCGAGGGGCACCGGTGGAATGAGTGGGACCATGGTTCAATGATATTTTTGTTCGGAATCCCAATCGCTTCATCTCCGCAACCTCAGAGGGGATCCCTGCCACCGAGTTATATAATTACCAAGGAGATTGCAAAGTAGGTGTCATGAGAGTAAAACGGGACTTTCTGCTGGAGGACTCTCAAAGGACAAAGGCCCGACTTTGGAAAAGCGAAGATCAAGTCTTGTACAGGAGCAATCGGGGCATTCTGATTCAAAGTTTGGACAGCTTGTATGTAAACCCAAGGTGCACATGGGTGCACCCATGAACAAGAGCAATCCCCGCTTCAAGGGGCACCACAAATAAGATTGGAAAACAATGGCAGTACCAATCAGAAGCACGTTCAGAGCACAAGGGCGTCTGGCTGACTCCGAGGCGGGACATGGGACTATTTGTCGCCCGAGATGGCATGGAGCTCAGTGGGAGGGGGGTGACCGAGGTGAGGCGTGCTGAGAGGACGGTTTGCGACCATTTAACAGCCGTCCAGCGTGGACTGTGGGGGCTTCGAGGTCATCCTAGCAAACGACGCCGGTACCTTGTGTAAGCACAAGCCAAACATTAGCCAGCGCCCCGTGGCATGGAGCCAGCTTGTATGTCCCGCAGTTTCCTGGCCTGCCGCGTCTCTCCCGCACATGTACGGCTAGAGCAGGTTGAGGATGGCCATGATGCAGCTTTTTTGCTTGAGGCATCAACGCTGGCAAGACCATTTGGCGGGAGTTCAATATGAACAGTGTTCAAGCCCTGTCGAAAACCCGAGCCTCCCAAGGAGAAGAGCAGCGTATGCTCAAGGCAAGCCTAATTTGCTTTGCTCAGGGGATTGTTGTTGTTTCTTTTGTTGTTTTGATTGAGACTTGTTTGGGCAAATTATAGCGGCACAAAAGGAACCTGCCACCTCGCACGTGAGTAAGGTTCTTTTCCTGGGTCCGGATTACATGGTCACTTGTAGAATTCTTGAAATGTGCCGCAAGGGCGCGGTACACCGCTCTAAGATGCTCTAAGAGTGTGAGCGTAAGGGCCACAGGGCTCCTGAATCAAGCGGCTCTAGTTAGCCCATCTCCAGGTGCAGAACGAGCCGCACAACCACACTGTGGACATTTGGGCAGTAGGCCGGACGGGCTTCCCAAGAATCTGGCCTCGTCCTGCCCGGTGAACTTTGTCCCAACATGCCGATGGTCACAGCGCTTGCTCGGTGAGCTTAAGCTAAGATGCATTCCTTTGCGCCCAACATGCTTGCGGTGCAAGCATTTGGGCTTGCCTGTGCCTGGACTAGGTTTCAGGCTGCAGGACTAAAGCGCAGGCCAACATGGAGTCGGAACCATAGCGCGATCCTTTTTTGGAGGAGTCAAATTCTGCTCCGCGCAGGCAGGGCCTTTCGGGAGTTTGGCTTCTGGCGACCGCCTGGTGCGTCGTCATGAGTCCAGCCACTCCCTTGAACAACAAATGGGAGAGAACTTCTGGATCAAGGTTGAGTTTCTTGCGCCTCGTTTCAGTGCAGGTGTACTGCTGTACGAGATGCTGACGGGGCGGCCTCCCTTTGCGGCGCAGAGCCTTTTGGTCAGCAAGCCGACCATTTGGCAACGGTGGGGGTCGCTCAAAGGTCGTGCCTGGGGGCATTTTCTCCCTGGACCTTCTGCCAGTTTCAGGCGTTCATTTAAGGAACAAAAAACGGCTTTCCCCGATGCCAATGCTGAGCTTTGTCGCTTTTCCTTCAGTTGATCCCCGACCTTTTCCATGGCCGCGTCTGACATGCGTATTGAACCCGTACAGTATTCTGGGGCGTCAAAACTTTGGGGATACTTGGGGGGATCCAAATGGTGTCAATCGACTTGTGGTTCATGGGGGGTTGGATCGGGTTGATGGCTTTCAAGAGTTTCTTGGCTTTCCAATTTGGCTTTTGTTTCTGTGTGTTGGGCACGTCAGTCATCTCAGCAAAGTTCAGCAGTGGTTCATCACAGGCCACAAGTCGAGGACAATAAGTAGCTGGAATGATATGGGGTTGAACTGCAATAGCGAACCTCCTCACACACGGCAGGTCAATTTCCATTTGTGTTTTCAGAAAGTTTACATTGTGTTGAATGTGGTTGATGCCAACGAGGACACATGCTACACCATGGTCAGCATGCCCAGTGTGGTTGCGTGCTTCAATGCAAGGTCAGCATGTGCCCATGGCCAGGGTGGAAACGTTTAGCCCAATGCGCACATGCTTCAGCGCAGGCAGGTAAGCAAGACTATAGCGTCATGAAATGGTGAGCTGGCCAAACGCCTGTTGCTTTTTCTTGTAAAGCTGCGGCTGTTTGTGCAGCTGAGGTGCCAAGATGCCTTGTGTGCCTGCGCATGCATAGGGGGTAGTGAGTTATTCGATGCCAATGCAGGCAGACGTCCGCGCACTCAGATTAAGAAACATATATACCTAAAAAACAACGGACTTAGGATTATTTCGCTTCGAGCAATCCCCACCCTCCACACTCAAGAGCTTACGACCGTCACAACAAATTCCTCCGCATCCTTCGACTCCAAATTCCCATTGGCCCCTTCCCAATACACAATGATATTTTGCCGCGCAAGATGGCAAAGCACTGCTTCAAGCCCATTTCAAGCTTATTGGCGAGTAAACAAAAATGCGAACAGATACAAAAGACTCATGCCACAACACGGTTGCGTGAATTCAAGCAGGGCCTATGACAGCTCAACAAGCTTTGCATTGAGAGCCTTATCCACCTGTTTGTGTGTCAAACTCCACTTGTTTGCAAGCCTATCTCGAGAACTCAAACATCAGTTCCGGTAACAAAAGCCAAGCCCAATCCAAAAACAAACCCGACGGGGGATTAAACGAAGTTGCTTATTCACAACCCAAAGCAACACAAAAGCATCACCCTTTCCGAGCCTCAGGGTACACTCAAAACACAAAGGCGCCAACATGAAATGTAAACCCAACTGTGCGCCGGGCAGGGCATTAAGCAAAACCAGGCTGGCGAGCTGCTCGCGGGATACTGGAGGGATCCACGGCGAATGCTGGCGAGCCGCTCCGGCTCGATACTGGCCGGGTACTCGGCAGGATCCACCGGCAAGGGATACCCAGCCAGCGGGATACTCGGCGGGATCCACTGGCGAGCTACTCTGGGCTACTCAGCAGGATGCACTGGCGGGCTGCTCTGGTGGGATACTCGGCGGGATCCACTGGCGAGCTTCTCTGGCGGGATACTTGGCGGGATCCACTGGCGAGCTACTCTGGGATGGCGGGATCCACTGGCGGACTACTTTCTTTTAAAATCGGCGGGATCTACTGGCGAGCCGCTCTGGCGGGATACTCGGCGGGATCCACTCGGCGGGATCCACTGGCGAGCAGCTCTGGCGGGATAATTACTGGGATCCACTGGCCAGCTGCTCTGGCGGGATACTCGGCGGGATCCATTGGCGAGCCGCTCTGGCGGGATACTCGGCGGGATCCACTGGAAAGCCGCTCTGGCGGGATACTCGGCGGGATCCACTGGGGAGCCGCTCTGGCCGAATACTCGGCGGGTTCCACTGTCGAGCTGCTCTGGCGGGATACTCGGCGTGATCCATTGGCGAGCCGCTCTGGCGGGATACTCGGCGGGATCCACTGGAAAGCCGCTCTGGCGGGATACTCGGCGGGATCCACTGGGGAGCCGCTCTGGCCGGATACTCGGCGGGATCCACTGGCGAGCAGCTCTGGCGGGATACTGGGCGGGATCCACTGGCGAGCAGCTCTGGCGGGATACTCGGCGGGATCCACTGGCTGGGTTGGGGCGTGGTGTAGAAGCATCGCGGACAAGGATTCCAACATAAAATCTAACAACCCCTTCCTGTCGGGTGGGGAAAAAATCCAGGTATGTATGATGGCTGCTTCAACTGGTAGATAAGTAGGTGTTTCTCAAAACAGCGCAGCCATCACGCCAGATCACACACACCCACACACACACACACACACATCCCTAGATCTCCAGGTCCCTGCGACGCGTGACGCGTGCGGAAACCGAGGCCAAGTAAAGGCTATGAACCGCATCCTTCGAGTGGATCTCCAGGCCAATTGCCCCGGCTTGTCTGCGCGCATGTGTATGTGTGTGTCTGTGTCTGTTTGTTTGTGTGCGTGTTTGTCTTTGTTTTTGTGTTTATGTGTTTGTGTGCGTGTCTTTCTCTGTGTCTGTGTCTTTGTATGTGTTTGTGTGTGGGTTAGTGTGTGCTTATGATCAAACATACAGCTTCGCACATATGTTTGTGCGTATCTTTGTGCAAGTTATATATTGGAATTGCTTGCAAACTTGTGCAACCAGCTGAAATTATATCCTGTCAAGGTATGCTGCAAAGAGCCGTAGCGGTTGGATCATCAACAGTCCAGTGTATCGATAGTTACGTGGATGCCAAAGGTTCCAGGACGGACACCGTTGGGTCGCGCATCCCTGGGCAATGATTTCAAAACGTAGGTAGGGATGCAGCAACTGAACTGAGCCAGTTTTCTGTATGCCTTTCAGGGGAATGACCGTATTTTATCTGCGTCGCTTGGCAAGTTAGCTGAGAAAGTGAGCTGTCAAAGAGAGAATATTTGGAAAGCATGTGTGCAGTAGTTGTATGTTTGAGATTCTTAGTACGTAGTGTGAGTTTCACACCAGTCACACATTTGATCTAGTACAAGGCGCAGCGTGGATTTCGATTGTAATTCAGAGGCAAGGGATTGCCGGATTCAGGTTGTCAAGACATCAAGAGCTTCAGGTTCGAATGTTTTCCATGTTGGAGCACCCCAGATAGGCCAAGAAGTGGTTTGGGGACTTGAAATCCTGGCTCTCGTTGTTCTTATTGAGGGCAAATGGAAATCCCCTAGCCTCCAAACCGTTTTCGGATTCCTCGGGGCAGGTGCCGACCTTTGTACCACCACTGGCGGCTGATATGATGCAAAAGCTCCTGGTGCGGCAGCCATCACAGTGGCCTGGCATGGAAGATGGTTGCTGTTGTGCCAAGTTCCTTGGCACCCGCTTTCCCCTGTGGATCCTGGTGGAAAAGTGGTTGTTACGTACCTTCTTGAAAGGCCATGACGGCCATGTCTCAGATGAGTGGGTTTCAGGGTTTTGGGAAAGAGGCTTTTTAGGTTGCAAGCTTTTGTGGCCGAGTGGACCCCATTCAAAGTGAATGAACACATTTTGCAATGGGCACGGCCGATGTTGACCAGACACGGAGTGGTTTGACTTTTGTCCAGGGCCCTGTTTAATCAGGCAACAAGTAAAAAGTGGTTGGGCCAACCCAAGGAGAAATTCCACATTGATTTGGGGAATCACTGGAGGAGGCAATGGGCCCAAAAAGAGAAGGGAGCGGCTAGACCTATTTTGATACTGGGAGATTTGACCTTTGGATTTATGGCTTAGGACCTTTAGTTTACGAGTTGCCCGTCAGGGCCGACACACATTGTGTTGACCATTTGCTTAATGCAAGGGTTGATATGACTTGACAAAAAGCGCACCGTGAAGAACCCTGTTTGGAGTAAGCAGGCATGATCAGACATACTGGGGCTCCCAGTGTCATTCCAGAATTTCACGGGACAGTTGATTCCTGAATCAAAGGCAAATTCATCAGGGTCAAAACTACGACTACGTGGGATTCAGGCATGTCAAGGCGGGTGAGTCACTGATGCTGAGGTCATGCTGGGCCATAGCACCTTCCGCGGGTCAGATGATGCATGATATTGGTTAAATGTGTTCATCATAATCTTCATAGCAGTACACTTGTTTCGCCACTCCTTACCACTTCTCTGCAATTTGAACAAACCTGTGCCTGCCAGAAGGTGTTTGTTGTACGTCATGGCCGATCCAACAGTAGTGGTACCGGTGTAAACCCAATGACGTTCACCCGAGCTGTTGGGGTCCGTGGCGTTGCATGTGCCATGCTCATGCAGCTTACATGGCTCAAGCATAGTTCATGGCAAAGGATACCCAGCGTATCCTTGCGGCACCGATTAGGTGCTTTTGTGATGGCCATGTTTGATGCGCCGTCGCTGCCGATTCAGGTGGCTTGCTCTGACACCAGCACCACGCTCCACGTGCCGCAGATTGTTCTGAGGAACATCCCGTTTTTCGAGTCGCAATTGGAGCGCTGGAACTCCGGCGGATGCTTGGCCCAGCTTTTTGCGCGCATGAACCCCTCCCTACCAGTTGCATTGTCACATAGTAGCGGAACCATGTCGGGAGTTGTCAATGAATGTGTTGGTGTTCCCGTTGCCCAGATGTCCTAAGTCTCATTTGCATTCTGCCAAGCAGCTCAGCCGATTGGGAGATTCAACAGGTACGTCCAACACTACTCCCTGAAACCCGACACGGAACCCGCACAGGGGTCCGGAAGACTGCCACAAAGCTGCGCCTGTTTGCGGCACGATCTTCAGGAGGGTGATGTTAATTTGCAGCTTGACAAAGGCAGCACGCTAAGGACAGCTGAGGGTGGAGCTTCCCAGTGGGCTGGGCGTGGCAGATCTGGAGCTTCTCTTACAGCAGGTGCGGTCGAATTGGTTTGCGGGGGAGGGATACTCATAAAGACGGGAAGGCGTGCCGCCCCCTTTTTGTGCCGTTGGAAGTTCAATGTCTTGGTAGGTGGGGATCCGTTCCACCCTCAAGTGGTGGTTTCCTTGTTTCAGATTTCAGGGCCGGGTTCGCTTTGAAAGCAACCAATAAAAAGGTGGCCCTTCGGGAAAGCCGAGGAAATCCACCGGAGTTCGCCCTTTTGCCAGGTGGTGTTTGGGCTTGAGCAGGCGAAGCCAAAGGACGCAGAGAGTGCGCTGCGCCTTTGTCAGCTGACCTCTATGTTGAACTGCGATGCTTCTATGGTCTCGGCCTCTGTGAGCCAGCTTCGGAACCATCTCAGGACGCTCCAAAAGTTGGGGCGGCTGGGGGGGGGGGTGTATAAGCAGTTGCTTTGTCCGTTGTGAGGTGGTTGAAACACAACCTGTTGGTTGCCATGCTAAAGATGCTAAAGCGAGTTTTCTTTAATTGGGGGAATGTTAAACAAAGGGGGTGCAACAGGGAAAGAAGGAAGGAAGGAAGGAAGTAAGGAAGGAAGGAGGGAAGGAGGGGAGGAAGGAAGGGAGGAAGGAGGGGAGGCAGAATCAAGCATGTTAAGCAAAAAAAATGTGGCTACTGGCCCAACTTTGAGAAGCGAGGCGGACGCCACGCTGGCGTGTAGCTTTGCGGAGGCGCATGCGGTGCCCCAAGAGCTGGGCAACCTTGCCAAGCGGCCGCTTGCCAAGCAAGAACCTGACATATCCCCGCCTTTCAGCAGGGTCCCTTAAAGCTTCCCCAGAATTAGCTCCTTTTTTATATTGTGTGTTTTCGTTTTTTTGGGGTCCCCGTTGTTTTCCACTAACCAGGCAAGAAATATTGTTGCTTGCTGAGGTCCTAATTCCAGCCAAGAAAGGATGCATCTAAAAGTCATCTACTCCGTGTATTTAGAGCAAGCAGTAGCTTGCCCAGACCTCATCTACCCCGTTTTTCAAAACCCGCCCAACAGCATTTATCAATCCACTCACCAAAACCCATATAATAATTCATAAAATGCTTCAAGTTATGCATTTTAAAGAATAACTTAAACCATTTCAATTATCTTCAACCTTTTTTTTTAATTATCAATGTGCTTCTTTGTTTTTTCATGCCTCGCCTTATGTTTCAATCTAACCTCACAATCACAAACAGAGCACACAAATATTTTCATGCCATAGTCTTTATTTATTTCACTTATCTCTTCCTTATGATTATATCTCCATGTCTGCGAGTAGATTTTTGTTTTTTCTCTACACAAATCACAAGTTTTATGATTTTCTGAAAATAGTTCTATCTTTCTATTCATTTTACAATGTGTGCAGTATTGTTTTTCTCCTTCTTCTATTTCTTTCTGTTGCTTATCCGCGGCGTTTTTCAGTCTCTTTCTTTGGTCTTTCTTTTTCTGCCTTTCACGGCATCTATCACAAGTTTTACAACTATCGGTAAACAAATTTCCATCCTTATGACATCCACAACACACGCAATATGTCCTTTCCATAATCTTCTACTATAATAAGCAATCTACCCTTTAAATAGTTTTAGACATAATCCATAACGAGGTCTGGGTAAGCCACCTGTCCCGAAAAAAACCACCAAACAACAAACCACACAAAAAGCCAAACAACAGACCATACAATAGATTTTTACAAACCCTACACTTTCAGCAATTCATGCCTCAACAATGGTCTGGGTCTTCCATTTACATAATAATATGTCTGCCCTAATTTACTTTCTATTCTTTCAACTGTGAAGACTTCTTTTAACCAATGACTTGTCTGTGCTTTTTCACTTATTCCCTTTTTTCCTGAATATCTTTACCCGACTGGACACATCTAAATCAGGATACACACGGGTTTTTCTGGCATTCATTGATATATTCAGTTTCACCTCAAACTCATGTTTCTTTTTCCTCGCTTCTAATGGTGTCATTTTTGTAACGGAACTTACTACTTTATTATTATATGTCAATAATATTTCTAAATTGTAATCTATCCATTGTATATTGTTTTTACCTTTCTTTTCATCCGCATCAACTCTTTTAAAAAGCATATCCTTAAAGGTTCTAATAAATCTTTCTCCAAAAGCAGGGTGTCCTCTCGTGGTGTGTAATTCATTTTTTTCCTCATCAAGATAATCTGTAATGGTAGAACTAAACAAACTGCCTTCTTCGTCGCTGTATATCATTTTGGGTTTTCCGCCCATTTTATTAACGCCTTCCATTATTCCTGCTAATACGTCTGGCGGTTGCTTACTTGCAATGGGTATTGCAGTAGCATATTTACACAATATATCAATTAATATTAATCCAATTCTAAACTTTTGATTTTCCAAATCGTTTTTAGAAATAAAAACAAATCCAGTTGAAATTCCCAAAAGGCATGAGGAGCAACAAAACTATTCTGCCCTCGCATTTCCTTTTTTCCTCAACATTATTTTTAAAGAACTCATTAACATCGTCCGCAGTAATAGTTTTATCTTTCTGTCTGGCATCTTTCAACGTTATTGCTTTACTTCCGTATCCGCTTTTATCATAATAAATATCACTAATTTGTTTTTGTTTATCCATATAATAAACTAAGATGTATTATATTGATAATATTATTTATAATTTAAATTCAGGATAATAAGTTAATTGATGACTATTAAATTGTGTATATATCTTACCTCTTTCATACATCATTTCAATAATAATATTAATAGCTCTCACGGTATTTTTCACATTAAACTGTTTGCTTTCAATATATGATTTAATGTATTCTTTTAAATCACACCCTTCTCTTCTACGATGTAACAACATCCATAATATGTGTTTAATCATTTCATACTTTTTCTTACCGATTTTGAGAAATGCGCTTACATAACTATAAGGTGGTCTTTCATACACAGCTAGAAATATCAAAATTTCATCGTCAACATTTCTATTACTTTTTCTTTCCAGATTTAAATGATATCTGATTCATTCTTGATTATCTCTCCATTCCTGACAAATTTTACATTCATCTTCTTTACCCAAAGCATAATCAATAATATTAATAACTATTCCATTAGGTAAATTCGTTTTGTACAATTCCATATTTCTTTTTTGAAGTGGCAACAGTCATAGCACTTCTTATTGATATAATTATTTACTTCTTGTTCGTTCACTACTCTCTACTATATATAGGTATTATTTCTTTAAACCTTTTTAGTCTAAAACTAAGATTTTCATACAACAAATATTAAAATCTTAATTAATCCACTTGTTGTTGTTCTTGTTGTGTTAACCATTATTGATGCTTTTTGCTTTTTTCGTGCTCCTTTCTGCCATCTGCTCTTAATGTAGCACCACAACTACATATGTATTTCACTGCTCGTTTTTCTATTATTTCTTCTTTGCGTTGCTCATACCATGACTTTTGATGTTGTTTTGTGCGTTCCGCATTTGTTTGGGTCCATTCCTGTTTAGTTCTTCCAGCAATTTGTTTATTTACACAGTCAATACTTTGAATATGCTGTCCCTCTCTTTTGTGTAATTCCATTTTATCATTACAGGGGTATTCTTCAATTAGTTCAATTTTACAATTCATTTCGCCAAACTCGTCAAATAATTCAAATGACCGTGTTTTGTTCAATTCTTTTCCTTCCAAATAGTATTTGTATCTGTATCTATGCCTTGCCATTCTCTGACTCAAACTTTCACATGTAGAGCCGATGTAGCATTTAGAATAATCAGCACTGACTATCTTTTAGATTTTACCATTTTGATACTTATTACTCATATCCCTGTTTATCTTAATGTATCTTTTCTTTAAACGTATTTTCAAGTATATCTATAAAATCTAACTTTGTTTAAATCCGTTGCTCGTGTTAAACTAACATAAAACCACTCTTCACTAACATACGAATTTGTTCCAGTCATAAATGATAATATCATCATCTATACTACAACCTTGACAAGAATGAGCAGTGTAACAATAACTGCAAATAAATCTGTCCCTCAATAACTTTACTGGTATGCTTTGTTCATCTAATGTTTTAACATTTTGTAAGTTGATATTTCCATTGTCAATGTTGGTAATTCTATATCTGATATTGGCATTGAATTTAAAATTACCCACTTTAAGATATTCTTTGCAAATAACAATATCATTGATTTCATATTCGGCTTCTTTATTCAGTAATTTACGGATTTTATCAGACACATATTTACAAGTTGTATTTTCATAAGCAATGTTATTATAACACACTTCATTTTCATCAGCGTATTTGAAATATGCTTCTACGATTTCCTTGTATGGCAATTAATTTACAAATATATCCTCTTTGATATTTTTGAGTTTGATTTTATCTTCTTCGCTCTTTAACCTTTTGCATTCTTTCAAGAATATGTCATATTAAACATTACTTTGATACATTCATCAGCGTATTCATGAAATGGCTTCGTGTTTGAGAGTGGTTCTAAAGTTGGCAGTTGGTTAGTATCACCAGTGGCAATAATGATTTTATCGTGTTTGTTTTCATTGATAAACTGATATATTATTGACAATATCCTTGGCGGGTTAAAATATATTTCATCGAAACAAATGACATCATAACTGCTGTAGTCAAACGTTGACAATGTTTCGCCTTCATCAGCAGCAATTGAAAAGAACTTATTTGTAGTGGCGCTGTCGCATTCACAGTTTTGTCCTAAATGATTAGTCCCAACTACAAACGATACATTTTTACCAAGTTTGGTAAAATATTTTGCTATCTAGGACTTTCCACTCCCTCCGTATTCTGCTTTAATCATTACCGGATTGTTTTTGATTATTTGCTTACATATTGTTTCTGTGTTGTATTCATCTTCAATTGGTATATTAATATTCTTAATCTTCGGTATTTCAGGTAATTCATTAAACTTGTGCTTGTATGGTTGTGTTGGTAATGTTATAGTGTGCTTCTCTTCAAGTCTCCAGTCGCCTATCTCATCGCCATATTTCAGCAGTCCTTCCTGCCATTTTCTTAAATAAGTATATCCAAAAACTTTATCCAAATCGTCTTCGTGGATAGTAAAACTGTCCGTTTTAACACTATACACTTTAACATTATTATCAGTTAATGTTTTATATGTTTCATACATTTTGAAATTATGGTATTGTAAAAGCAGTTCTTTTATTAGCATAAATCCATTAGTCAATACTTTTTTATCTGACACATTCAATACATAATACGTCATGCCCTCTGTATCCTTTACTCTCATTTCATCATCTTCTAATTCTTCTAATTCTGTTTGGTACTGACTGATTGTATAAATATTGCCACCATTTAACTTTTGATCATAACACGCCTCCCTCAATGAGTTAAATGTGCTACTTTTCTGTGATGTGTTATGCGATTTTTCCAGCATACCGATGCTTATGTTTGCGATGTTCTTTTGTAGTTGCTTATTTAAATCTTCATTGCTTGATATTTTTGTAGAATAGAGTTCATCAATTATTTTCTTGTCATTAACTTTATAAACATGATTAGGCTGTTTGTAATATAATATCTTCAACTTAATATCACGCTTTAACAACTGCTTTAAAAACTTACCGTAAATCAGATTATATTTCTTGTTAAAAAATATGTTTCCTTCATAGACTTCTACAATGTATAAAGTTTGATTATTAAAACTATTAATATCACAATCAGCGAAAGGTTTAAACACATCAAATTCAGTAAATCTTGGGATGTATT